ATCGGGTTGTGCAGATCTGAACACCGAAAGATCTGAAGATTTTTTTTTCCTTCGGATCCCATTTGAAATAAATAAGCAGAAAAAAAACAAAAAAACTGGATCTGAAGAGAGAATATGAGAGAATCCCACGGATCATGGGGGCACAAACTGTGCAGGAGAGATCTGGAGATTTTTTTTTTCATTCGGATATCGGAATGAAAACAACAAAACTTCGGATCTTGATAGCGCAGATTGTGTGGCAAAGATCTGTTGGATCATTGTTCCCGCTGCAAAATCTGAAGATTTTTTTTTTCCCGTCGGATCTCATGTACGCAATCTGTGTATGTGAGATCTGTGGGATTCTTGTTTTTTTATTTTGAATTTGTTTAAATATTTTGTGGATATTTTATTTCGATCTGCTTGGTGTGTCTGAAACCTGATATGTTTTGGTTACCCAGATCTGAAAAAAAGGATGCACCCCCATCAACCTTATAGCAGAATCTATGTCTTTGCCTTGGGCTGCCCCAATTGAAACCCCCTCATTCTGGAACTTTTTTGTGGGTAAGAACAGATGCCATCTGATATAGTTCTGAATTAAAACAGCCCTGTTGGCACTGACATTGCCCTATCACTAGCACTCTCACAGTGCAATGGGCTTTCACAGCATATTCCTAGCACTCTCACAGTGCAATAATCTCCTAGCACTCTCACAGTGCAATAATCTGTCACAGCATATTCGTAGCACTCTCCTAGCACTCTCACAGTGCAATAATCTGTCACAGCATATTCCGAGCACTCTCACAGTGCAATAAGCTGTCACAGCAATTTCCAAGCCACAAACTCAAAATGCAAATGCACATACTGAGGTTAGTACCTTGCAAGCAGGCTTGAAGTCGCCTGGCCGGTGAAACACATCCAGAACCGGCTCTGTGTGTAGTAGTTACCCAGCAAAGGTTCAGGTAAGCACCCTCACAGCGCTAACTGCCATGGTGCTCTCACAGCACTTGCCTTTCAATGTTTGACACTCTCACAGTGTCAAACTGACCTGCCTAGAAGTGGTAGAACTGGCTCCTGACATGCCTGAGCGAACCTGATCTGCCAAGATTGAGACTACATGATGATATCAATAATTATGGAATCATCTTGAGACTTTTAACATCCTGTTTTATTTTTTAGGCATCTGATTTTCAAACCAAGGTCAGGAACAAGCGCTTCACTATAACCAATGGGATAACCAATGGGATACTCAATGTAAAAAGGGTGCAAGGTTTGCTGGATCCGCTACAGATCGAATCCCATTGATGGTATTTTTAGTCAATAGATACAACCTGAAACCATTGTTTCGACATCCGGCTAATGTCGCCAAGTGGAGCCCACACACTCTCACAGTGATGGGTTTGCCTTGAACCGATGACGCAATTTGCCAAACCTATTGGAAGAGAGGCGCTCTCACAGCACTCTCACAGTGCCTATCCAAATCTACACATCCTCACAGCAGTGATCAACATCATGTAATGAATTTCATTGTTTTCTTGTCTGGTAGTTTTGTAATTTTCAATTTTTCCAAATTTTCACTCATCCAAATACTGAAATTTCATTAATTTTTCAGACTTTTATAAATGGACACAGACTTTTTATAACAATAAAGACTTTGTAGTGTAATGTAGTGAAGTGTAGTGGAAGGTAGTGTAGTGTAGTGTAGTGGAGTGTAGTTTAGTGTAGTGTAGTGTAATTTAGTGTAGTGGAGTGTAGTGGAGTGTAATTGTGCAGTTGTAGTTGTAGTGTAGTGGGTGTAGTGTAGTGTAATGTAGTGAAGTGTAGTGGAAGGTAGTGTAGTGTAGTGCAATGTGGTGTAGTGTGGTGTAGTGGAGCGTAGTGTAGTGTAATGTAGTGTAGTGTAATGTAATTTAGTGTAGTGGAGTGTGGTGGAGTGTAGTTGTGCAGTTGTAGTTGTAGTGTTGTGGAGTGTGGTGTGGTGTAATGTAGTGCAGTGTAGTGGAGTGTAATGTAGTGTAATGTAGTGTAGTGAAGCGAAGCGAAGCGACATCTGAACCTCCAAAAGTGGTCCGAACCCCTGGTGCTTTTAACATTTTGACTTCGAAATGTGCTTCGCCCCACAATGGCGTGCATTTTTTCGACATCTGAACCTCCAAAAGTGGTCCGAACATGGTGTGTTTGTACATGTTTGTACAATTTTGTACATTTTGACTTCGAAATGTGCTTCGCGCTACAACGGCGTGCACTTTTTCGACATCTCAACTTCCAAAAGTGGTCCGAACCCCTGGTGTTTTTAACATTTTGACTTCGACATGTGCTTCGCGCCACAACGGCGTGCACCTTTTTGACATCTCAACTTCCAAAAGTGGTCCGAACCCCTGGTGTTTTTAACATTTTGACTTGGAAATGTGCTTCGCGCCACAACGGCGTGCACTTTTTCGACATCTCAACTACTAAAAGTGGTCCGAACCCCTGGTGTTTTTAACATTTTGACTTGGAAATGTGCTTCGCGCCACAACGGCGTGCACTTTTTCGACATCTCAACTGCCAAAAGTGGTCCGGAGCTGGTGTGCTTTGTGCATTTTGACTTGGAAATGTGCTTCGCGCCACAACGGCGTGCACTTTTTCATCTCTCATCTGGCCAGCTGGCTCCGCACCCGCCGCTTTAGCGAGCCTACTTTTCGACCCTCCGGAGCCTCAAATCATTGGAAAAACACCGTGTTTCGCGACTTTCCTACCTTTTCGCGCATCTGCATCTTCTTTCTTCTGACTCTTTCTCTTCTACTCTTCTCTCTTCTAATCTTTCTCTTCTTTCTGCCTCTGCCCTGCGCTGCTTTTCATCTGTCCATATTGTCGGAAGTTTGACTTCTGAGCTTCCTTTGATAAACGTTAAACTAGCTTACTTCCGCAAAAGTAAAAGCCTCACGCGCGAGAGCTGTGCGAAAGCTCCGCGAAAGCTTGAAATGATTGCCTATCACTATACGTAGTTGTAAATTATCCGCGAAAGCTGCGCGAAAGCAAACATGATGGACTCAGCGTCCGCGAAAGCTCAACGTGTGGTCGCGCAAGTACCGCGAAAGCTCCGCGAAAGCCACATGGGATCATAACAAATTTGCAAAAGGGTTTTCAACGGCTCTCATTTGGATCCGGTGAATGTACCGAATCTGGCTTCAGCTTGAGATGGAGGCCGTATCTGTGATTGGCGACTCGCAGAATCAGCTTCAAGCAGAAGCCTCGCAGGGTTGCAACTATTGCAACATATTGCAACCATTGCAACAGCATCGGTGCAGTTGATAAGTGATATTGAGTGACTGAGGTTTTAGCACTGCTGCTGGTTCCTCTGGCGGATTTGACCCGTGTTTAGAGGTTGACTGAGTTTCAGTTGGATTCAGGAGAGTCATTGGAAGACAAGTGGTTTCAGTTGTGTTGAGTTGAGTTTGTTTGTCCTTTGGAGATGATATGGGTTTGCAATTTTGAACGCACAAACACTCACACAGATACGTGTGATACGATATCTTAGTGATTCTACCCTATGTACCCTCTGGTTTTTTGACGTGGCTGTGGAACATATGGAATTGTTTGATGAGTAAATCATCATAAGTTATCCATAAGCGAAGCATTTTCCATAGCTATTTAATCACCAGAGGGTATTTTCATCATAGCATGTTTGGTGAAAACCGCTCGGCAGAAACAACAAATCATGCCGCAAGTTTTCAGCCCCAACGGCTGGTGGATCAGCATCCGCCAGCATGCGATGGTGCTGTGGCACCGCCAAGGCATTGTGGGGGATTTTGGGAGAAACTGAGAAACCAGAACAGTCAATCACTTTCTCCAAGAGACTTGAAATTGCAGGAATTTTAAGGGGAATGGATAAGGATTCATAAGCATTCATCATGATGTATGATGTTTATTCGGCATTATTCGGCATAATTTTGGATGTTTGCTGCCACACTGGCAGTCACTGGCACATGTGGGATCGCAGCCGTTCCCGGGCATGGCCAAGCCACATCAGCTGGCGCTGTGCTACGCTGTGCTACGCTGTGCTGCGCTGTGCTGCGATGGATGCACTTTGTCTTCGAGGTGCCATGGTGAACGCAGACAGGTGGCTTCAGGTGTGGAAGAGGGTGCGGGATGCAGATGTGAGACATGCCGGACACATAGCACTATGGTGCACTGGTCCCTGAGGTGTCTCTCTGCAAGAAAATGAAGAGACTCAATACAGCCCCTATTCTGCAGATAGAAATCCCGCGCAGCATGTTAAGATTTTGGTCAGTGATTTGGGTGTTGAATGGATGGAGCATTCTTGTCCCTGCCATGGGCCCTTTTAAAGTCGCAGCGAATTATGTTATATACATTAGTATGGTATTCTGTGTGCACAAGTACATTATAAATTATAATTATATGTGACATATAAAAATCATATAAAACCAAGCGTAAAGACAATATACTATTTTATATTGTTTACATTTTATTAAACAAAGAAACAATAAATAAACATGCATACTGTATTATATCTAATTATATATAATGGACATGTGCGAAGTACATCTGAACTGCAAGGTGTATCATTGTTGACCCAGAGACCTGCTTCAGGTCTTAGCCCGGACCTGGCAGATTGGTCTGCCAAATTGTGAGAATGCATCAGAGACCGTAGATTCCGTAGATGTAGATTCAGCGTGATTCAGCTGGTTTTGGAAAAATATTCGGCCTTTGGATATCCAAAGGGTATCCAAAGGATATCTTTGGATTGTCGAGGCTTCGCCCCATATGATTTCAGCGACCGCAGGCAGCTGGCTTTAAAGAGCACTGCATCATAAGGGAAGCACTGGGTGTCCCGCAACATTCATGATTTATACATTATTCATACTGCATGAAATGGGTGATATCTCATGTTCCAAGTACGACGTACTCCTCAACTCATTGATTAAGTGCTTGGCATATTGCTGCTTGAAACGCGAGAAGGATCAGTTATCCTCCCTAGGCCCTATGCACTTTGGCTGCTGTGCTTTGGCTCAAGTGAATTGAGCCAAGAGATCCAAAGGTGTGTTAGAATGGGAGGTAGCTGGCGTTCGCCATGACTTCGGCTATGGCGAATAACCAGCAGTCGGTGCAGATGTGAAGCTCTCAGTGAATCCGGACATTCCAAAATTGGTAGGAATATGTAGGAATCACGATTTTCAACTTTGTGACACCTGTGCCATTCTCACGCCTCCAAGTAGATGACTAATTTTGTTGAGAGTTGAACTCCGAACTACTGACCAGCAGGTACTACTACGTCGTGCCGGGTCAAATGCAGCCGCAAATGGCGCCTGCAACTGATGGTGGCATGATGGCCAACCAGCAGGGCCAGATGCAGCAGGGTGGATATGATCCACAGCAGATGCAAGGGTTCAGCATGGGCGACCATGGCGGGTATGCCTTTGTGATGAATCAGGATGGAAGTGGTCAGATGGGAGGTGTCAACGTGAACCATCAGATGGGTCAGCTGCAACCCATGATGATGGCACCGACAGGGAATGGAGGATGTCCGCAACAGATGGTGCTAGTCATGGGGATGCCAGATGGGCAGGGCCAACAACAAGGTATGCAGGTGATGGACTCTTCGGGCTGTGCTGGGTGTGGAGGCTGTCAGGGTGGCTGTGGTGGTGGTTGTGGCTGTCAGGGTGGCTGTCAAGGCGGCTGCCAGGGTGGCTGTCAGGGTGCCTGCCAGGGTGGCTGTCAGGGGGCTTGTCAAGGTGGGTGTCAGGGTGGATGTCAAGGTGGCTGTCAAGGCGGCTGCCAGGGTGGTTGCCAGGGATGCCAAGGGCAAACGGCGCCAACAGCTCCGCCCACCTGGGGCCAAGGAAATGTAGGGCATTGCAATGGATGCAACGCTCAAAACATGGATGCACAGCGGCCCATGGGTCAAGGAAATCAGCAAGTTCAACAAATGCAACACCAAATGCCCAACCAAGACAAACGCGGGATGACAGGCGGCCAGGCCAATCAACCTAGTCAGAGCCTTCAGAATCAAAGTGCTGCCCCGCCAGCCAAACCTGATCCTGCACCAGCGCCTGCACCGGAGAGCCGGCCAGCGGCAACCAAGCCCAAGAAAGGGTTGGTGAACAAGAAGTTAGACAAGAGCACTGCTGCCGCAAGTGCGCAAAATGCACAACAAAACGCAGGTGCACCAGCAGGGGCATCTGGAAGTGCAGAGCAAAGTGCTCCTCCATCTCAAGTGGTGTCGGAAGCTCCCGCTCCCACTCCAGCAGCAGCACCACCAACGAGATCAGAAAGCCGCGCCGCAAGTCCAGCCCAAGAGACTAATGGAACAGCTGGAACGGGCTCTCGTTTCAACATGGGCCCTATTCCGCCCCTGCCGCCCAAAGCTCAAGGTGCGGTGGCCAGTTTCTTTGCCTCCAACATCAAAGCCTTGAACCTGGAGCCCATGCGTTCCGCGCCACCAGGAAAGGTAAGGCCAGCAGCCCCACCCTTCGGGAATCTTGAGCTGCCTCGCTCACCAGGTGCAATGAAGGCTAAAGCCAAGGCACCAGCCACAGCCGCACCCGAAGCTGACTTGCAACGGGATTCACTGCAGGTGCCACAGCCAACGCAGCCAACGCATCAACCTGCAGATGTCCCAGCACCAGTCGTTCCAGTAGAGACCTCTGTCCCTGCAGCCCAGCCAGCACCAGCTCAGCCGGCACCAGCACAGCCAGCTCTGAGTGCAACAGGGGTCAATGCTCAATCTCCTCAGCTACTTGGATGTAAGTCAATGCTGCTGCTGGATGAACACCAATGGTAACCAATGCATGCTTCAACATCCTTCCCAACCTGGGTTCTAGTAATTTGATGCTACTGACTACTGTATATTTTGATGGGTTTTGAAATTCTGTGAGTTCAATGCCATGCAGTTTCATTCTGACGTGAAGTGACGTGAAAGGAAACCATAGGTGCCCAATTGGCCTGATATAGGTGCCGGCCAATCGGGCCAATCGGATAAGATTACAAGTGGAGACATGTGGCCATGGATGACTGCAGACAGTGGAAAACTATGGAAACTTAGGCCAGTGGCAAAGACGCCAGCGAAAAAGAACTTCAAGCTGAAGAACGAGAAGCTGGCTTGGTCCCCGGCTTCATCCATCTTCATCCCACGTTGCAACGAGTCCGGGCTTTTTTAATTGTCGTGGATTCGTGGATGCCCTACCCATGGTGTTGCTATGTGTCAAGGCCAGAAGTGGAACAGCTCCCAAGGTGGAGGATGGCGATGCCAAGGAGGCTGGAAAGAATAAGTTGGGGTTGAGATGTGTTGAGATATTCTAATTGCGATGAATCTGCAGGGCTTTCCTGTTTTGTGATATTTTTGTGATATGTGTATATTATATATTATTATATATTATTCTTTAAGTTCTTGTTCTTCTTTGGTTTATGATGTTTCATCAGCCCAAGCAGCTTGAATCCTTATGTAATGCAGCGTTGGCAAGGAGGCGAAGCCAGCCCCGATTGTGCAGGACTGCAGCCAGCGGAGGTGCTTGAAGTACATTGAAGATCTAGAGATCGTCGAAATATGTTGAAAGTGAACAATGTTTCAACATGTTTCAACCATTTTCAACATCTATAATCATGTGTAAATGATTATATATAAATATGCATCCACGCGTTTTAACAAAGCGCTGCCCACGTGTTGTTCTTCTCTATGTCTTTGATTTTACAAGGAGCCCATTATGCCAGCTGCCATAGCTCATGACGCTCCAGCAGTGACCTGGCAAACACTGAGGGATTCGGCCATGCCGATCGTTCGTATAATATATATATATATATCACTGAAGCACCGTAGAAATCCATAGAATACTTAATCATACAATAGACATCAATATAGACATCAATAGACATCAATAGACATCAATAGACATCAATAGACATCAATAGACATCAATAGACATCAATAGACATCGTAAGGCCGACGCTATAAAGCATATAAAGCCACTGTTTCCTACTTGCCAACCGCGCCAACGTGTGATGCGCGTGATGTTCGCAGCTTCCCGGTCATGGCGAGGTGTCCCTGATGCCCGAAGACAAAGTCTTCAGCCACTTGACGGCGTTGAAGAACTGTCCGTGAAGATCCATGAAGATACTCATGACATCACCTCTCATGAATTCACGGCGATTCCGAAGATTCTTTGTTCTGGCTTTGCGAGATTTTTCGAAATACTTTAGTGATTTTAGTGGCATCTTAGTTTGACAGACACACGCACAGACAGTTTATTGCCTATGCTGTCATTGCTCTCTTGTCCTGTAGTACCTATAGCTGATACGGACACATCACGGTCCCCAGGCAGAGAGTTGATGCTGAGAATTTGGCAAATGCACAAGGCGGAATTGCACAGCTCTGTCACCAACCTGCGGCTTGGACGCAGACAGCAGACGAAAGTGGCGATGAAACTGGGCGGGTTGGATGGTACATGGATGGATGCCTGGTGGGATGACATGGGATGCCTGATGATGCCTGGTATGCCGTCATTGACGCAATGTTTTTTTTCTTTGCTGGTCACGGGCCTTTAGGAATCTTTTTGGGAGTAGGAATAGAATCGGGAGATACATGGAGATACCGTATGGATCCGTATGGATCCGTATGGATCCGTATGGATCCGTATGGTAGGTGGAAAACTTGTCAAAGTGAGCTTTCCAGTCATGCTGCAGACATGCTGCAGACGGGAGCCCACTGTCGCCCAGGGGTGTGAGTATCAGACCTGGAGACAAGACGCCAGTCATGGAGAGGACGGACTTGGGACACCTGGGCAGCGACCAAAAGTGACACGATGTGATGGAGGATACATGCGGATACCGGATACCATAGGATCCTTGAATTTCTAGGTGCGATGGCTGCATTGCTGCGACGTGACCACTGACAAAATCTAGCATTTTGTGACATTGAGATGTTGAGCCGTGCTGATCAATGGATTGGTTTAAGGGAAAAACTTCACCGGAAACTATCGGTTTTCCAATGAAATATGGCGGCTTTCGGGTTAAAAAAAGTCCCTTGAAAACCGATCCATTGAGCACGTGGGAGCCAGCCAGGAAAAAGGTTCCAAGCAAGCGGGAAGAAGCTCCCGATCGGTCTTCAGCATCCCAGCAGCAGATTCGAACTGCCGATCGCATTGAAGCATAACGAAATATCATAACCCATTTGGAAATGGTTGAAAAAACACCTATTTATGGTGATTTGGGGATGGTTTATTAAAAGTTTATTATTGTTTCGCCCACAGTACTAATAGAATGAACTTCCAGAGCTGTCTCTTCACAAATTCTTTCAACAAGCTTTCGCGGATTGTAGGTGTGGATTGTGGGACATTGCGGGACGTGGGAGAACTCGTTGTGGATGCTCCGGCGTTGCAATTCCCTTAAATCCTGATGAGTTTTGCAGGTCTTTGGCACAGAGATGAAGAAGGGTTCAGAGCTGAGACGGCCGTGTTATTCGAAGCTGGTCGTCACCATGGCGAATGCTGTTGATGATGCGCTTTTCACATTGCCACCGCAGTGGCGACTTCGAGATTCCAATAGGATCACCACTAGGGCCTCAAAAGGTGCCAAAGGTCCCAAAGGTGCCCCCTGTGACACCCCTCAGTGATTCCAACATGTGGTGCTGGATTGCCAGTATGGAAAAGATAGACCAGTGGTAAAGATGTTGGGTTCCGCAGCCATGCGGTTTTTAGCATCTTGTGGCCGGGGATGTATTCGAGCTGAGTATTGGTTTGGCAACGAATTTTGGCTGAAGGTCCAAAGAAGGAATACTTGCCGAAGCCATCTGAGAATGCATACAAGGTCAAGGAGGCCTCTTTAAAACACCGGACAACAGGTTTAAAAGCCATGTCGAGGTTTGACTGCTTTTCCATCAGCTTGATGCCACAGATACAGATTCCCTGCTAGGCAAACATCCTGAGTTGTGCCATGTTGTGCCTTATCCTGGTATCCTCCTGTAGGCAAGTGGCAGGATGGAGGAACTTCAACGAAATGTCTGGATCCTGAACTTTTTGGCATTTGTTTTTGGGAATTATATGGAATTATGAATTATATATATATAACTTATATAACTATATGATACTATATGTTATATGAGTTATATGTAGTTAATTCATGGACAAAACTCTTCAAGTATTTTCAACATGTCTTTCATTTTCTTTGATCTTCTTATGATTGCTGTGCTGAGGCTACAAGCTTGCTGAACAAGATTTGCCCAGACAATCTCTCGACAATCGTGGATCACCTGGCCAGCATCAAGCTGGTGAAAGCGGAGGAGCTGGAGTATGTCATTCGGATCATCTTCAAGAAGGCAATTAGTGGAAAGCTGGAAGATATTGGAAGATCCTGACATATCCTGACCGGGTCGCCACTCATAGACATTCTGTAAATTCCTTGAAATGTCATCAGATTCCCTTGGGGATATTTCAAAAAGCATGTCCCAGATCTTTTTTCAGGCACTGGCAGAGCCCCACTACTGCAACTGGGCTGAAAACCTTGGACTGCAGACTTGGCCACGACGGACCGGTGTGAAAAACGCCGAACGACCTGTGTTGACCTCAGGCGAGACCTACGCAGACATGGTCTTTGCACTCAAGGTCTCTCGCGCTGCAGAAATGTGCGGAACATGCTTTGAGAGCGTGTAATGATGTGTATATATGTGTATTATGATGATATGTCATGCACATTGAGCACAAATAAGCAGTCGGCTTGTAATAGATCCTATGGCATATCATAGCCCATGGATACGAAAGGTTTGCGACCTTTAAGGGTATCCCAAGGGTGCTAAGATGTCCTAAGGAAAGATACCCGCAGTTCCCTCCAGAGAACGAGGGTGAGAAGCCAGCGACCTTCACGCGAGTCATCTCCTTAGCTTGGCGGAAGGTTCATAACAGGCTGAGTGGCAAACAACTGACAGCAGTGCCTCCACAATATTCAATACCCTCTGGTAAACTAACATAGCTATGGAAAATCACCATTTTTAATGGGAAAATCCACTATTACCAGAGGGTAATATTCATCCCCGTGCAACATGGAGGAACGTGGAGGAATTCATCCCATCAGGTCACTAATTAATGAAAGCATATTAGGTCGCATGACTTGATGACTTTGTTTAATGAGTGTTTGAACATTTGGAAAAGAATTCACTGGTTGATCATCATGTTCCCCATTAAAGGTTGGCATATTACAAAATAGCCATTTTGGGTACCCCCGCCATTCCTGGACTGCCATTGCCAACTCCTCAGGTGTTGCTGAACAACTGTTCCTGGGATGCCTTAACCATGTTTTTTTGGGGGGATGGTGCAGCTGTGAAGGGCCAAAGATGGAAAACTCGGCGGATGTTCAGTCATTGTTTTTTCAATATGATGTTCAGAAACAGCCGGACTGCCATAAATCTCTGTGTTCAAGACACTTGATAAGGTGTCAAGTAGAGTGTGAGTATGAGGATACAAGTATGATATTACAACATATCATATATATATATATATTATATATACATACATAGCATGACATTTCCAACTTGACATGACGTGATAGATATACACTGACCTTATTGTAGGCGGAGATTAAGAAGATCAAGGCAATTGGCACTGGTTTCTTCGACACTGAAGGCAGTGTGTAGCAACACATTCAAAGGTTGGCAATGTAAAAGGACACACCTGAACAAATCTAAAGACATGAATTTAGCTGATCAAATTACTTGCAAGAATGCAAGAACGCTGAGGGCCCCACATGTCAATGCTGCCCAAGAGGTTGGTTACACTTGAGGTCAAAACGAGTTTGAGAACATGCCAGCCACCTTCGAAGCAACAGATGAAGACCGGGCCAAGTGCCCAAACCCAGAGGACCTCCAACAGGAGTTGCTTGGCAGGTACGAAATGGTGTGAAGAACAAAGGAAGCCCTTGGCGCGGCATTGATAATTTTGTATACATATTATATATGATATATATATATTATATTAAATATATTAATTATATTTAATTATTATTCATGATTATTTGTGCATGGAAAAGAGTCTGCTGTCTCGCTTGGGGACAAGGTTCATGGAACAGTTGCGTTTTGATCATTCTTTGGACCATGCGGCCTCTCAACGGCATATTTGACATCGAGGCTCAAGCGCAAGAAAGACATGATGCTGGCCAACATGCTGCTTGGCCGTTTGGGTAGATTGATCCGATGATTTTTGAATTATTCAAGAATCATATTGATCATATTGATCATATTGAGCCTGAGCTCGTGCACATTCAAGAAGTTCTATGACACTGAGGAAGTTCATCGGTCACCTGTTCCTGCGTCAGCTTCTGGCTGTCAAGGCCAAAATCGTCAAGTGCATCCCCAGTAGCACATAGATTCATAGATGCATACAGCATCATAGGATATCATAGCATATCAATCCATATCATAGCTTCTAGCTGGAATCCTGGAATCACAGCTGGAGCAAGCCAGTCATAGCATCACTGTAGCCAGTCTGATGCACCCGATATCGCTACCAGCAGATTCACGGCTTTCGTTCAGGTCATTGGTCAGGTCGTTCATGATCTCATCGGCATCAAGGAAAACGGAAGCCTGCCAGAGGAACACATGATCGAGTGCCTGGGCATGCGATGAAAAACATGATGAAAAACACTCGTTTCAACATGATTCAACTCATTTCGTGAGTTGATTGTGACACTTTGCTGGGACCAAGCAAACTTACTATGACTTACTTACCCATTAGTATCATTAGTTATTGGATGTTATGGGGGTTCCCTCTTCGAAGAGAAAGTCCAGAGTGTCACAAAAACATAACTTGGTGAAACGCCGGCCACGTCGGCCACGCCGGCCTCGAAGGTGCGTCTGTGAGCTTCTTCAGGCTGAGCTCTGCTGGTTTGATCATATTTGATCATAATTGATGTTATACAACATGACATACCATCATATCACGTGAAACAAGATGATATCACAGTATATCACAATGATAATTTCTCATAATAGTGAGAACTAGTAAATTTCATGCTGCTTTCTTTGCCTTGGCTTCTGCACTTGTCCACCTTTGTTTTTGTTCCAGACTCCGGCCGGGGTAGCATCGGGGTACAGGCCATTGGCTATACCTTGGATGAATCCTCCCATGGTGAGAATCTGATGAACTCTTTTCAGGCGCGGCGGCTGCGGCTATTTCTATCATAGATATCATGGCAGGTACCATACCCACGGTGTCAGAGGCATTCGGTGATTCATGGATATTCATGGTGATTCCAGTGGTTCCACATCCTATCATTCAGTTGGTTGATGTTGGTTGATGTTGGTTGATGCTGGTTGCCAGTGGTACTGTCAGGCGAGGTTGAAGGACCTTTCCAAGCACCTGCTGAATGATGGCAAGCAGGCCAGTTGGATCAAGGAGCAGGGCCGGAAGGATCCGGAAGAGGAGTCTCTCAAAGCAGTGACGTTGGTATTTTACATGGTGACTCCATGCGGCCTTAGCTCGGCCACGCTACTCGTAGAATGTCGTAGAGGCTGCCGACTGTCACCAGTTGGACCAGGCATTCTCCAAGCGCATTCGCTTCGCGATAGAAGACCTGCTCGATCTACGCAAGGCCAAGTGGCAAAAGAACCTTAGCTAAAGCAACTGACACAGCCGACGCGACCCACGCAGCCGAGCACGAGCATAGAATTTACAGTATCAGACAAGGCTCAAGACATGTGGAATTCACTGATTTAAGTGTTCACTGGCCTGGTTCTTTGCTTAGTCTTGTGTTTTGTTTGTGCTCAGGAAAGTCTTTAAGGAACAAGCCAAGACCAAGAACGAAGTTAAGGGAGAAGCTTCAGCGCCTCAACTGCAGAACTTGACGCTGAAGGTGACACCTGGTGACAGTGAAAACCGGATTGACAATTTTCGATTACAGGATATTACAAGTATGTTGGAAGATGTTGGAAGGTGTTGAATCGTCGAGTCGCTTTGGCGGTCAGCCTTTCGTCAAAAAAAATGCTCAGGCAAGGCCTGGAAAGCCCGTACCGGAAGGCCATTTCTCCACGCAGATTGCTGGTATGAAGCCGGCCTACATTGAGGAGCTGAAGGCTGAACCCGGCCATGTTTCTTTGCCAGTTGGCCAAAACATGCCAAAAGTGAAGGGCTGGAAAATTGTTGGAAATATTGGAAATGCCCAATTTCATATATTTCATGACCTATTTCAAGGGCTAGTTCTGGAAATTTGTTGACCTATGTTGACCTCTTTCATGTCCCCAATGGACCCAGCTTGAGGACGACGGAACGACTGCATTTGTCAGGCCCAAAAGCCAAAGAAAATGGTGGTTGATACAGGATCAGGAGGCAAACCCAGCTTGGATGAGTTTTTTGGCAGAACTTCAGAAGGAATCTGGGTCAGGTCCAAGCGTGTCCTTTTGTGCACAATGGCTTTGCATCATTTTATAAATCGATATAAATCGATAAAACATGTGCTGAAGAAATGACGGCGCACGATTGCGCACAACAAGGAATCTCCTGTGATCGTTTTGGGGAGGGCACATGTTAGTGGATGGGATTTGGAGTGTTCGTCAAGTTTTGAGCTCGGGCACGAACGCATGTTTGATGGGTGTAGTATGTCAGAGAGACCATGGAGCAGTGATCACAGCCAGTCTCCTGACCTTGACGAAACGTGCACCGGAATGGCCGTTCAGCCGTTCACTCAGGTCATACGTCCCTTGGAAGCACTGATGTTCCGGAGCTTGGAGATCTTGCAGTGCAGTGAGAATCGCTTCAGAATCTTTCTACGTTTCAGGTGAAGAAGATTTTCCAGTACTACGCAGAAGACTGGAACGGCGACTCCTTTGCGGCGGACTGGAATAAAGCAAAGCCCACGGCCTCTGCAGGGGGCCCAGTATGGTCCAGGTATGGTCCACTCTGGATAGAAAGGCATAGATGGTTGTGCACTTGTGCAACCTCATTGTGAATCATGTGGAAGTGAGACGAATTGAACTTTGCTGTGAGATTTTGTATGTACAGCAGAGGTTGGTGTACTTAGTTTATGTAGGTTTCTCCATGTGTAGCCGAATCGTTTCATGAAATCCAGCGGGTACTGTAGGTAGCTACAACATGCTACAACTACAAGTGCTTTTTTTTCTCCTTGTCAGGAGACCAAGAATGCCCTTGTGCAGCTGGTCAATGCAGGATTTGAGCAGGTGCCCTGATTTCAGGTCCAAGCTTAAGATCTTGTTCCCGTTGAGGTCCGTTGAGTCGTCGAGGAGGTATACTGATTTGAAGGATGGTTGAAGGTATGTTTGTTGTGCAGTTGCAGCTAGTGTGTTGACGCAATTTCCATCAATTTCAACTGTTTGAGAAGGTAAAAGGGAGTAATCATGATTGATCATTTAGTTGACTCTTGGTAGGAGAGGTCTTTTCTGGGACATGAAGAAATTTGGAGTGGAACCAGCCACGTTTCTTTACAGCTTTCGACCATGTTAAAGCAAACAAAACAGAACATAGGGTTAAGTAAGCATGTGCTTACCTATGTATAATGTATTTGGCTATCTGCTGATGATATCTAATAATAATAATGATATTATATATATATATGTATTAGTGTGTGTTTGTGTATTATTGTATAGTTTTTTTATTCTGGCATGTGAGGGCCTCTGAATGGCCCCCGTGCTTCCTAGTTCCCTAGTTCGGTCTCAGGAGAGGCAGGAAGAGGCATTCGCCATGGCCATTGCAGAGCTTGTTGCACGCAAACTGGTCAGCTGCGACTTTCTCAAGGCTGGTGTCCATCAGAGTGTTCCCAGATACCATTGGAATCATTGGATACCCCTGGAAAAACAGAACGACCCCTGAGGGAGTGATTTTGGCTCCAACAACCTTGGAAAGATGGTCATTTTCTTCAAACAATCACTCCCCCACAAGGTGCCACTCTCTCAACATGAATGAACAATCACAAAAACAATCTTAGTGGGGAAAATGATCATCTGCATTGATCAAATCACGAAAGGTAGCCTAGGCTACCTGAGTTCTATGTACTTTAGTACTAGTTTAGTACTGGGGGAGGTGGGTGCTCCTTTCCCGGAAATTGAGAGCCGAGAGTCACGAACGGAGACTTAGGGGGTGGGGGGGCCCTGTTTTTGTTTCGACCTAATACCTACATCGGTACATGCATGAGTATTGAGCACATTTATATGCGCCCTTCAAGGCTCAAGAAAGAGGTATATAGAGTAACCCTGTAGACAAGCACTGACCGGCAACAGGCTGAGAGTAAAAGAGTGCTGTCATTGGGGAAGACGCCTTAGCTGATCTTGAAGTAGACGCTAGGGCCCCTCTTCAAGTGGTAGCGGAGCAGTGATCCCTCATTGAGGGTGAGCTCCAGGTAGAGCCCAAGAAATGGCAAGCCATGGCTATGATGATGATGACTTCGACATTGTCGATGCAAATGAATGGAACCAATATGACTCTTATGCAATGAGAAGAGCACCCCAGCATACACAGATTCATATGACGCAACAGATGACCACAAAGGTTGCTCCAGCCTATGATGGGCGAACCAGCTTCTTTGCTTTTGAGGATGCAATTGATGACTGGTGTGACATTACGGAGTTAGAACCAGAGAAACGTGGTCCAGCATTGCGCAACAGACTGGAAGGAGATGCTCAACAATACAAGAGGCTATTGGATAGAGAATTACTCAGGGATCCCTATGAAGGAGTGGCTTATTTCAAAAGATTTCTACGACCTCATTTCATCAAAGGTGCCCAAAACGTGTTCTTATACCGTTTCATGCAGTTCATGAAGTTCAACAGAGGAACCATGGATCTTCAGAAGTGGATGACTAGATTTCAACTCACTGGCAATAGACTTATTGAGTCTTGGATGGATTTACTTCCAGAAGTAACAGTGACTAGTCCTGAAGCAATCCTGTTTGTTCAACAACGACGTCAAGAACATGAACGAGATCAACAAGAGAGAGCTGAAGTAGCAGCAGCCTCAGGAACACCCCATGTAGCTGTTCCTTGGACAGATGAACTGGCACTAGCGGCATTCAGACAATTTCAGGAAAATCGTAGACAAGTACAGCGACAAGCATTCCCACTGGGTGAAAATTTGCTAGCATTGATTTTTGTAAGTCTAGCTGACCTGAGTCAAGATCAGAGAAACACACTCACAAGTATCATGACACATCGTGGACGAACCCTCGATCGATACAACATTCAAGAACTACGTGACCTGTTTTTGGAAATGTTTTGCACTACCAAAACAGCAGTTGACAATCCATTGATGCAACCCTCTGGCATGGCACAGAGAAGATCTTTCCTCGTACTGGATGAAGGTGAATTAGAAGGAACCGACGGCTATTGGGCCGAAGATGAAGAAGACGGCGCAGAAGGATTCCTGGATGCTTTAGAAGATGTTTTCTGGGTTTATGATGACGCCAACTTCACATGGTATCAGAGAAGGTTCCAAGGCAAATACATCAGACGAGGCAAAGGTAAAGGAAAGAGAAAAGGAAAAGGAAAAGGCAGAGGAGGACGAAGGTTCTTCAAATCAAGAAAAGGAAAAGGCCGAGGAAAAGGAAGAAGAAAGGCCGTGCTCACATGGTGAGTGAAGAAGGTTATGAAGATGAATGGCAAGATGATGAATGGAATGAAAACTATGACGGCTATTGGGCCGATGATCAAACCTGGAATGAAGGCTATTGGGCCTATGATGATCTGTACTACATGGATGAGTATGGATACTTCCAGAAGAAAGGAAAAGGAAAAGGAAAAGGAAAGAAAGGCAAGAAAGGTAAGGATGATGATGGAAAAGGAGGAAAGCCAGGAGATGGAAAAGGCAAGTCGAACTATGTTCAACCTCAGACCACATCAGCTCCTGCCATACAGAATCAACAAACTCAACAAGCTCATTATTCTTCTGCAGCTTCAAGTTCTGGTCATGGTTTCTTTTCATTTGGAACAACTGAACCGGCACGTGTTGATGTTGCAGAGACAGAGCCAGCTCGTGTTGATGTTTTGACATCCACGTATGCAGCACAAGATGAACAACGACGTACTCGTCGTGGAGGACAGAACCAACGTGATGCAAGAGCACATCAAAACAGGAGAGAAATGAAGAGATTCCCTGTTCTGGTTGGAGAAGTTGGTGCACTACGACAAGGTGTACAACAACGTCCAGCTGTAGTGCCCAGGCAAGTTGGTCTTCAAGAAGGTGAGGCTTCATGGAAGCCATTGGCAAAAGGCACAACATTGTTTTCACATGGATGCTCTACAGAGATAGAGGAACCATCACAGCAGAGTGCTTTTTCATTTCATACTGTACAAACTGATCTGGCATGTGAGAATGGACTAGCTTTTCACACAGAGAATTCTGCACCACCAACTGGGTGTATTCTGGATCTTGGATGCACAAGAGCTATGGGCTCTCGACGAGCAGTTGAAGCATTTTGCAGATATGTTGACTCACATCCCAACAGTGGACTCTGGTATGAAATTCAGCCAACAAGTTCAAGATTCTTCTTTGCAAACTCACAACAATCAAAATGTACTGAGAAGCTCGTGATATTCATGTATGATCATGGATGGAACACTCAGTTTACAGAATTCGACATTGTCGAAGAAGGTGATGTCCCACTGTTGATGTCACTTCCACAGATGAGAAACCTTGGATTTCAATTTGAACTTACTCCAGAGAAGGCTTACTTGTCCTGTGCACGTATTGGCATGAGAAAAATGGTTTTGAGGACAGCCATCAGTACTCATCTCATTCTCGACCTACAAGATGTAGCATGGTACATGAGCCAAGTTCATTTCAAGACTCCACAAGTCAAAAGTTTCTATTCACAACACGATCACTTTGAGTACAGTCAGATTGCTGTCAAACAAGATGATCATGAAGGAGAAGCTTTGGTGACTGGTGACTACTGGCAGGTTGATCCACTACGTCGTGAACTCATCAGGCACCACAAGGACAAGAGAATGAACTGACATGAGATGACTCGATCAGAGAAAACTCCAATTCCAAAAGATCAACTTCTAGATGAGAGAGAGACACACATGGAATTCCAGAAGAGCAAAAAGAAGGTTCTTCACAAGGACAACTGGTGCACTGAGAAGAAGAGGTTTTCTGAACAGAGTGAAGAGTTCTGGAAGGGCAAGACCATCTACAAGATCAAGAAGGACTACATGATCCCAGAGGAGATTGTCAGAAGTGACATTGATCGTGCAAAGCCCTTTCGTGGAAACATTGATGATCTTTTTCACCCTGAGTCAGCCTCTTCAGTGCCATCAGGGGTACAGAAGAAGAAGCCAAGCTCCTTAAAGAAGGAGGAAGGCAAACCGATTTCAAATGGACCAGGCTCGAAAAAGATTGAGGTAGGTCCACCTGCAGCCAAAAGACACGTAGGTAAGCAGAAACCTCAGGTTGTCGATGACTCTCAATCAGGTTCATCAAGAAAGAAGGTTGTTGTCTCCTATCCCAAGCTTGATGAAGAAGATGAGCTTGATAAGGTAGCTAGGGAGTTAGGTTTGGACACAATTGATTCAGATGAACCTCAAGTCATTGAACCGAAACATTCTGCACCTGCGCGCAACCGTGGTAAGCAAGATTCAGAAAGTCAAGTTGAGAAACTAGGTAGTGATGCTCTTGAGCCTAGGCGAGTTTCGATTCCACTGCCTGGTAGTGAAGTGCAAGCCATGACACCAACATACAGAAAGATGCTCAGGAAACTGGAGGATAGTGTGGAACTTTACAAGCTTCATATCAAACACTATCACATGTCTCCTACTCAATTCAGACGAAGGACTTCCATGTTAGGACTTCCTGACTGTCTATCAGAAGTATGAGGAGATGTACAACAAGTGTCGTGTGTGTAGTACTTCCATTGCACCACCGCCGCGAGCCAGAATTTCAGGCATACGATCCACCAACTTTGGAGATGTTATCTTTGTTGATCATGCTGAAATTCAGTTGAGAAAGAACAAGTACATGGTGTTGCTTGTTCTTGATGGTGCAACCAACTTACTTTGTGCTACGGCACAAAACTCACTGAACAACAAGGAGACCATTCAGGCTCTAAGGTTGTGGAGTGATGAACACAATTGTATGCCTAAGGCCATTGTAGGTGATGAAGCTTTCTTTCAAGAAGACTTTCTGACTTATTACCGAACTCATGGTATCAAGGAATGTCCCTGTGGTTCAAGAACCCCATGGCCTAACAGAGCTGAATCAGCTGTCAGACTTTTCAAACGACAATGGCAAATCATGTCCAAGAACCTTGAAGATGATAGGTTCAAAGGAATCACCATCAGAGAAGCTGTGAAGCGTACTGTTTGGGCCAGAAACACTCAACTCGCTGTTAGTGGTTATTCTCCTTTGGAAATTGCCACTGGTAGAAGACCACCAGATCTTCTGGATATTGAGACTTCTGATCCTGCTCAACTTAGTGTTGATCCCTTACCTGAAGACAAAACACAACTCGAGTTGCAAAGGTTAGCACTGAGGGCACATCAGGAAGCCAGACAAGCTGCTGACCTCAGACATGACATGGCCAAACGAACAATGCCATCAGATGGACCTTACAAACCAGGTGACAAGGTTTTCGTTTGGAGTTCCCCTGTCAATGCTAATGCTATTGTTTCAAAGGCATGGAAGAAGGAAAGATGGATCAGAGGTACTGTTATCTCTCAAGAAGGTGCTATGGTCAATGTTCATGTTGACAACGCAGTCATGCGTGTTAATCAATCGAAGGTGAGACGTGACCATGATGAATGGCATGATGTTGCTGTTCCTGGATTTGACACATCAGAACCTGTTCCACTTGCAGTTGAAGATGAAGATGACTATGAACC